AACAAGAATGTGAACAAAGAAGGAAGCTATGAAGTCCTCAATGGGATTTACACTGGGAAAGCAGATACAAGGAAATCCAGGGACAGAAGTCCCAGTGAGAAGGAGAGGGCAGGCTCTGGCAGAAAGGCACCCACGAATTAAAACCACATGTGTGTAAGTGTGTGGACATCAACTCAACATATAGATAAGGTGATTGGGAGGTCAAAGAAGCTGGATACGATGATAGCGCGTAGTATTAAGGAAAGAAAAAACAATTAGAAACATCAGGGGAAGAAAAGAAGCGTACAAGAAAGATCTGCTCAAATAAGAAACCGCCGCGTCTGGTGATGCAGGCCTATAATCCCAGCACATGGGAGGAAGAGGCAGGACGATTACCACAAGATTGAGGCGAGCCTGGGCTCTACAGTGAGTTCAAGGCCAGCCTGGACTACATAGCAAGGCCCTGTCTCAAAAAACAAACAAACAAAAAAGAAAATGAGAATCAAATTGAAATAACTTCACTGATTCATGGTGTCGAAGAAAATAGAATGTGTTGGAAACTTGATGGTAGGAATATTCATCTCAAATGGAATTCAAGTCAGCAAACTGACCTCGTGAGAGGGAAATGTAGTCCTAGTCTTCCTCCTTTTTTTTTTTCTGGTGGTACCAGGAATCAAACTCAGGCCCTTGCACTTGCCAGGCAAGCGCTTCCTCCACTGAGCCATCTCCCCAGCCCCTAGTCTTTGTCCTCTCGAGCTGACATTGGACAGTACTTCTGCAGGCATCATGAGGTGAAGTTCCGCCTATGACTTTCAACTCTCAGTGAGTCAACTTATACACACAACACAGAATAGTTTTGGTTGCAGGATAAGGTCCATTCAGCATCACCTCTGCCATTTATAATTTGTTATCTTTAGTTATCTGTTAGCTTAAATAATACAGTTAAACCTCTGGTGCCACCAGTTTCTTTCTTTCTGTGCTGTTTTTGTACCTCAGGCTGGCCTTGAACTCACTGTAGCCCAGGCTGGCCTCAAACTCGTGGTGATCTTCTTGTCTTGGCCTCCCAAGTGGTGCAATTACAGATGTGCACAATCGCACCAAACTTTGGTTTTGTGGTCTTAAAGAATCAGTTTTAGGATTGATTTAGTTATTGGCTTATCTGTATTCTGACCTGCTACTTTTTATATTTTCAGCATTCCTGTTTGCTAGTTATTTCACAACATTTTTTTCCTTTTTTTTTTTTTTGAGACACAGTCTTACTATGCAGAGATGGGGCTGGCCTTGTGCTCACTTTGTAACCCAGGATGGTCTCAAACTTTCAGCAGTCCTCCTGTCTCAACCTCCTCAGTGCTGGGATTACAGGTCTGCTCCACCACGTGCAGGTCTGGGGCAGGGGATTGAACTCAGGTCCTTGTGCTTGCGAGGTAGGTGCTTATGCCTCTGAGCTGTCTCCTCTGCCCCAACTTTTTTTTTTTTCCTGGTGATTGAACTCAGGACTTAAGCTACATCCTGGTCCTTTTACATTTTTCTATTATAAGGCAGGCTCTCACTAAATTGCTCAAATTGAGCTGGAGTTCGGGATCCCCCTGCGCAGCCTCCCAGAGTCTTTGGATTATGGCGTGTACCACCATGTCTGGCTTTTTTTTTTTTTTTTAACAATTTGAAAGACTATGTGTATTACACTAATTTGGTTTGTTTCTTGATAACTCCACATGGCTTTGGTTTTGACTGAAGTTTTTAAGAAGGGAATTCTAATTTATAAAGGCAGACTTGCTTCTTTTCTTTTCTATTCGGTCATTAATTTTCTGTTCTAAGCGTATAGTTTCTGTCATTTTGTATTGTTTTCACATTCCTCGAGGCCACTGTCGGGCCAGATGTGTGGGCAGCGGCCTTCGGTCAGTCCCTTCTGCTGTGATGCTGGACGTGCTCCGCTGCTTAGCCAGAGCTCCATGTGGCTGTTTCCTGTTACCACCTGCACGGTGAGAGTAAGGCGAGAATGAACTCTTTAAAGGCTAATTTTAGAGTAGTATTAGATTCACAGTGAAACAGAGAGAAAAGGCCAGAGAATTCCTGTATCCCCCCGCCCCCAGCAGCGTGGGACACTGCGTAGACTTGGTGAGTCTACATTGGCACACCACTGTCACCCAGGGTCCAGAGTTCAGGGTTAGATCAGGGTCACTCAGAGTGCTGGACATTATGTGTTTGGGCAAATGCGTGATAACACGAGAACCGAACTAAATATACAGTGTGACTTGAGTCAACTCTCGAGGTGCTCGTCCTGTGTCCGCACACTGCTCCCCACGTCCTTGCTACCTTCTGCAGTGGCTCTGGAGTCCTCGTTCCTAGGTGACTTTGTGAGTTCGGATCCCCCATGGAAAGGCAAGCTGTAGCAACACAACGGTGTCCTCATCCACCTTAGTCACAGGATCTGGCCCCATGAGACGCCCAGCTCTGCCCCAAGGGCAAATGTGTGGCATTGATTCATGACAGTGAGGCATCCAGGACAGCTGGACTCCAGACCCTCAGGAGAGAGGGCTCTGGGGCTGCTGCAGAAAGCGGGAAGGAGGACACGATGAGTGTGTTCGCAGCGAGAGCGAGGACTGAGGGGGCTCGTGGCAACACGCCTTTCGCTGGAAGAACAGTTCGCACGAAGCTTTCGCTGTAGCTGCAATCGTCCTTGCAGGCCCTCTTTGCAGTGTCACACAGCATCATCTCACTGCCTTGGTCACAAGAGCAAGGTTGCTGTGCAGAGCGTGCAGACAACAATGCGGAGCAAAGTAACTCCTTGGGGAAACATGAAGCCCTGCGATTTGCTGGGTGAGCACGGTGACTTGCTGTAGGTTCAGAAGAAAATTCTGGCTCTTCTTTCAGTGGGGTGCACATTTCCATTCCTGCAGCGATAACCAAGAGTCCCCCTCCCTTCGCCCACAGCCTAGTGTGGGTGATAGCAGTAGTGTGGGCTTCTGCTACTCCACCCCGTAGAGTGGCCATTGTTTTCTTTCTTGCACGACCAGGAATTGGACCCAGGGTGTTCACACTGCACTGCATCCCCAGCCCTATTTTTTATTTTGAAACAGGGTCTTGCTAAGTCATTCACTTGCCCAGGTGGGACTTGAACTTGTGATCCTCCTGCTTCAGCCTCACAGGCAATGGAATTCCAGGTGTGTGCCACCATGGCTGGCTTCGTTGTTTTGATGTGAATTTCCATGATGACACATTACGTATAGCATCTCCTCATATGTTTATTTGCCATCTCTGTCTGCTTTGGTGAGGTGTCTGTTAAGATCTTTAGCCCATGTCACAGTTTGGGGTTTTTGCAAGGGGAACAGTACAATGCAGGCAGGCACTTATGCCACTGAGCTATCTCCCCAGCCCAAATACAGGACATATCTTATAAGATTATTTTATAATCACCTAAAGAATCATCTACAAGGAGTGCAGGAAATCTGCCCACACACAAACCCAAAGAATCCAGCTAAGGGTCTGGATCCTCAGATCCTGCATGAGTCCAGCTGGAAACCTAGGGTCCATAGCAATGCCTCTCACAAATCCAGCTGGAGGCCTAGAGTCCGCGACATTGTCTCATGCAGGCCCGCTGCATGGATCTGCGCTAGATGGGCCCCAAGGTCAGCGGTGGAAGCTAGAAAGTCTGTGCCAGCGGGATGAAGGATCTGCGCCAGCAGCTGCAGGATCTGCCCTGGAGATAGAAAGCGACCCTCAGAGTAAGAAGCAGAGCTCCCCGCAAAAGGACCACAGCCACCCCCAGCAACAGTGAGGTCCTGAACTCCTCCATTTATGGGGAAAGCCGAGTTCCCATCAGAAAAGCCAACGTGACAAGCGCCTCCATGAGGCTAAGCAGTGTACCGTCTTCCCCAGCTGAGCCACGAAGCAATGCTCAAGATGAGGACAAGATGGCCGGGAGCTGGCTCAGCGGCATAAGCGCTTCCCTGGCAAGCGCAAGGGCCTGAGTTCAATCCCCGGTTCTGGAAAAAAAAAAAGATGAGGCCAAGAGCTCCTCCAAAATGAACTGCAGCCCCTCGCTGTCAGCAAGGTCCCGACCTCCTCCTCTGAGAAGAACAGCCAAGTTCCTCTGGAAAGCCAGCATGACAAGGTCACCCAGAAGAACAGGCGGAGGGAACCAGCCACTTTCAGCAGCTCCAACAGCTTCCCAAACAGCCTCCCCACAGCTTCTCCAGGTCTGCCTCTTCCACTGCTGGCGACAACCCTCAGGTGGCGTCCCATACCTAGAGCTACGCTAGTCCAGTTCAGCTGGGTGTAACAATTTGACCAGCAGTTAACGATCCACTATGTCCTGTGTCATAATCAGGTGCTTGCTGTCCTCTTGTTGAATTTTAGTTCTTTGTTCCAGGAGGATCTCAAGCTGGAGGCGAGCCTGGGCTTAAGGGAGACCCTGTGTCAAAAGAAGCCAAAAAAAGAGTTTGTTTGTTTGTTTGTTTGTTTGTTTTGTTTTGTTGGCAGAACCAGGGATTGAACTCAGGCCCTTGTGCTTGCCAGGAAAGCGCTTATTCTACTGAGCTGTCTCCCCAGCCCTCTATATATTTTGAATAAATGTCTTTGGTCAGCTCTGTCTTGGTGTCACTCAGCTTTCCCACTGCTGGGACAAAATAGCCCACACCACACCTTAACGAGGAGAGGTTTATTCAGCCCATGGTTCCAGAAGATTCTGTCCAAGGTTCCTCCAAGGCAGCACCAGAAGGGTGGGAGGGCGTGAGGAGCGAGGATGCATGACACCGCCAGAGAGCAACGGGCCACGGAGCAGATACAGTCCCCGAGTACAGCATGCCGTGCCGGTCCCAACACCAAGCATGGTGCTGCGCGCCTGTAATCCCAGGGCTGGGGAGGCTGAGACAGGAGCATCACTGTGAGTCCCAGCTGCGGTCTGAGACCTTGTACCGAACACATTAAAAAAAAGATGGGCAGACTATATTATGCAGTCTGTTCCAAGGTGATTCTGTTGTATTCATCGCTTCGCCTTTTCTTTCCTTTTTCCTTTCTTGCAGTGCCAGTGGCCCAAACGAGGGCTCCTTGGGCGAACATCCCAGCACTGAGCTACCCCAGCCCCCGGCGATCTCTCCAGCTAGTACCACACGGTTTTGAAGTCGGACTGAGTTGCTCCTGCGACTTTCTTCTAATTCTCTAACACTGGGCAGCCCTTCCATGTCTTTCTCCCTGTAAACTTGAAGATCCCCCTGTCAGCACACACACCATAGCTTGCTGGGCTTTTGCTTGGGATTGTATTGCAGGTGCAGTTGGGAAGAACGGACATGGAGCAACTGAGTCTCCCTGCTGTGAAGGGGGGTTCTCCCCACCGATTTATTCTTTGCTTTATTTCATCCAAGTTTTGCAGTTTACCTTATATAATTGTTGGACTTATTTTGTTGGATTTATACCTAAATAAATCTATTTCATTTAGGGGGGATGTTCATAAAATGTATTGTGATTTTCATTTTATTTTTACTTATTTATTTATTCTTTATTTTTTGGCAGAACGGGGGATTGAACGCAGGCCCTTGCGCTTGCCAGGCAAGCACTTGTGCTACTGAGCCATCTCTCTCCCCGGCCCCATGGTTTTCATTTTAAATTCCACTTCTTGATTGCTGTTATATGGGAAAGCAATTGATCATTGTAGATTAACCTTATGTTCTACAACCTTGCTATAATCATTTATTAGAACTAGGATTTTTTTTTGTTAATTCTTTTGAATTTCTGTATAGATAATCGTGTCACCTGTGGATGGAGACAGCTTTATTTCTTTCTCCTCAGTCAGTAAATCTTTTATTTCACAATCTAATTTGATTGTGAAAATTACATTTCCCCCACCAAGTGTGATGTGGTGCCGGTCGTAGGTTTCTGGAGATATTCTTATTTTCTGTTTATGTATTAGGTGCAGGGTCTCACTGCGCAGCTCAGACTCATAGTGATCCTCCTGTCTTCAGCCTCCCCAGCGCTGGGATTACAGGCGGGTGCCACCATGCCCAGCCTCATTAGCCGGCTCAGTGCACCCTGGAGGCGGGGCTGGTGCAGCATGTGGGACCAGGGATTGAACCCTGGTCCCTGTGCTTGCCAAAGCAGGCACTTAGTCTGCTGAGCTATCTCGCTGGCCCGATAGTCTTCACTAGGTTGAGGATGCTCTCCTCTATTCCTAGTATAGTCGGGCTTACCTTTTATCATGCACTGGATTAATCCATGTTATTGGGTTTTGTTGAGTGCTTTTCCTGCATATATAGACAGCAGTGTGATTTTTCTTGTTTAGCCTACAGATGCAATGGCCAACATTAATTGATTTTTAGTTGCTGAACCAGCCTTATGTACCTAGCATCGATTCTACTTGGATGTATATTGATTTTTATAGATTGTTGGTTTTGATTGCTAATAATTTGCTCAGAATTTTTGCATTTATTTCATGAGAGATACTGGTCTACACTTGACTTTTCTTGTAATATCTTTTGCTAATTTTGTATTGCGGTAATGCTGAACTCATCATGACTTAGGAAGCATTCCCTCGGCTTCTTTCCTATGGACAAATGTATAGGAAATTGGTAATTTTTGTCTTAAATGTTGGTTAAAATTCACCAATAAACCCATCTGATCCTGGTGCTTTTTGTTTCATCTTGTTTAATTCTTGTTTTCTTGAGGTAATGTATCACTATGTAAACTCATGGTGATTCTCCTACCTCAGCCTCCCTAGTGCTGAGTGGCAGATGTGCACCACCATGCCCAGCTGATGCTTTCTGTTTTAGAAGGTTGTTAATTATTGATTCAGTCTTTTGAGACAGAGTTTTACTAAATTGGCCGGGCTTGCCTAGAACTTGTGACCCTTTTGCCTCAGCCTACCAAGTAGCTGGGATGACAGGAACAGATCACCTGAGCGCTGATTCAAATTTAATTGTAGATACAAGCTCATTACATTATTTCTTCTTCTGTGAGTCATGGCAGGTGGTGTGAAGAATTTCAGTGAGGTGATCAAATTGGTGGCTATGTGGCTGTTCATGACAGTCTTTTTTGGGGGGGTGTGTGGAATTGAACTCCAGACCTTGTGCTTGCCAGGCCAGTGCTGTGCCACTGAGCTATGTCCCTGGCCTGAAGGCTGTTCATGGTACACATTTCTTATCCTCATAATGTCCATTATACTCATACTGTCTCTTCTTTCACTTTAAAAAAAATTATTTGTTTATTTGCTACAGAGTCTCGCTACACAGCTCAGACTCCTTCTGTCTCAACTTCCCCAGCACTGGGATTACAGCATGCACCAGCACACCCGGGGGTCCGGGGCTGGCACGGCATGCAGTCCTGGGGATCGAACTCAGGAGCTTGGGCTTGCCTGGCAGGTGATTAGACAGCTGAACTGTCTCAGTAGGCCCTTCTTTCACTTCTGATATTAATTTGGGTCTTTTTCTCTTAGTTTTCTAGGGACTGATGGATGTCAGCTATGTTAGAATCAGCTTTTGGTTTCATTTTTTCCTACTGATTTCCTATTTTCAATTTTATTGATTTCTGCTCTGTTTTTTCTTATTTCTTTTCATCTCTTCATACTGGATTTAATTTGCTCCTTTTTCTAATTTCCTAAGATGAAAGCTTAGATTATTCACTTTTAGATCTTTTTCTTTTCCAAGCATAGCCACTTAATGCTGTACATTTCCCTGTAAACGCTATCCCACAAATTTGCTAAGTTGTATTTTCATTTTCAATTTCTTCAGTTTTTTTTTTTTACCGAGCTACATCCTACACAATGAGCTACATTTTCTTTCTTTCTTTCTTTCTTTCTTTCTTTCTTTCTTTCTTTCTTTCTTTCTTTTTCTTTCCTTCCTTCCTTCCTTCCTTCCTTCCTTCCTTCCTTCCTTCCTTCCTTTTATTATTTTGGAAATAAGGTCTCTGTGTAATCCAAGCTAGCCTTGAACTCACTATGTAGCCCAGGCTGGCCTCAAAATCGCTGCAATCCTCCTGCCTCAGCCTCCCAAGTGCTGACATGACAGGTATTTACCTGCCTCATTTTATTTCTTCTTTTGCAACAAGATGTCCCTGAAGTGTTAAGTTTCTCCTGCTTCGCATCCCAGAGGGCTGGGCTTACAGGTGTGCCTAACAATGCCCAGCGACTTGAAAAGTTTAAAATTTCTCTTGAGATTGCCTTGGTGACGCATGTGTTCGTGACGGCATGCTTAATCTTCATGTGTTTGGCAGCTTTCCAGTTATCCTTTCGTTACTGATTTCTAGTCCCACCGCAGGCTGAGGGCTACCGTGAGCACCCATTCTTCGAAATGTGGGCGAGTGCTCGGTGCCACGCCCCCGGTGTGTGTGCTGGCCGCTCCCGCTCCCGCTGCGGAGGCTGCGCAGCCACAGGCCTTGATTACGCACGAGGGGGAGACTGACATTGCCGAGCCGTTCCCTGTTTTCATCTTGCCCGGTTCTGACTAGATGTCTCTGTTCACGTTTAACAGGGGCGCACACGCTTGCAGCCCCTGCTGCTATGCAGGGGAAACCAAGGTACCTTTGTAATTATAGCATCTCCCCTGCCAGGGAAACATGTGCTGTCGCTGTCATTGGTGAATTTAGACTATCGACACTTAGTGTGATTACTGCTGGAGGTTGGAGTAATGTCTACCATATTCCATACGTTTTCTACTTTTTTGTTCCTTATTTGTGCCTTCCATGTTTTCTGCCTTTTGTGGTTTTAATAGAATATTCTGTATGATTTCCTTTTTCTTCTTTCTTAACATATCAGGTAAAATTTTATTTACTTATTTATTTATTTATTTAGGGTACTGGGGATTGGACCCAGGTGGACTTTGACACTGAGCTACATCCCCAGCCCAGTTTTTTTTATTTTTTTTTTTGCGGAACCAGGGATTGAACTCAGGCCCTTACACTTGCCAGGGAAGTGCTTATTCTACTGAGCCATCTCCCTGGCCCCCCAGCCCAGTTTTTACCTTTCTATCTTTAGACACAGTCTCCCTAACTTGCTAAGCTGCCCAGACTTGGCTCAAACTTGAAATTTTGAGTCACCCTTGGCTCAGCCTCCCAGGATGCTGGCCTTACAGATGTGCACCACTTGAAAAGCCAGATGTGATCATTTAAAAACAGATTCCGGGCTAGCGAGATAGCTCAGCAGAGTAAGCGCCTGCTTAGTCAAGCGCAGGGACCAGGATTGCTCCCCAGCGCCACATGCCACACCGGCCCCACCCCAGGGGCGCTGAGCCAGCCGCTCCAGGCACTCTGAACCAGCTGCCAAGACCAGGCGTGGTGGTGCACGCCTGTAACCCCAGCGCTCGGGGGGCTGAAAACAGGAGGATCACTACTAGTCTGAGTGGTATGGTGAGACCCTGTAACAACCAAATGCATAACCCCCCCAACGGATTCCTTTTCACCCCTGCTGCTGGAAGAACTCGGGGGTAGTTCTGGTGTTTAACGTGAAAGCCTGTTGACCTCCTACAACTGTGGGAGTCCCCAGACAACAGTCACTTTTAAACCCACACACACTAGTTTTTGTTTTATTTTACTTGTTGGAGTTTGTTTTTTGAGACAGTGTCTTGCTGTGTACTTTAGTCTGGCCTAGAATTTGTGATAATCTTGCCTCAGCCTTGAGAATGCTGGGATCAAGAGCATGCCACCGGAGCCGGGGAGCTGGCTCAGGGGAATAAGCACTTCCCTGGCAAGCACAAGGGCCTGAGTTCAATCCCCGGTTCCGCAAGGAAAAAAAAGAGCACGCCACCACACTGGCTTGGCACGGATGCTCTGACATTGGCTCTGGACGGTCTCCTTTCAGGTCACCCCTCGGTGCTGAAATGGACACGCTTCTAGCAAAGCAGACACCCGGGGACCACTCCCAAACCAAGGGCCCCTGCTCTTCCTCCGCTCGTACGGAACCTCCAAAGACCTGTGCTCTTTTGACGGTCCCCTTTGGCAGGCAGGGCCTGGTCACAAGAGGGGGTGCTGGCCTGGCATGGCTGGAAGAGTGCTTGCCTTCCCAGCTTCTCCCTTTCCACCATGCCCCTGTCATGGAAGGACTAAGAGTTCAGAAATGAGCCCAAATCAACTTGTCCATTCAGTTATGGGTGTCAGGTATTGTGTCTCAGTGAAGAGGAAGCAACTAAGAGAAAATCACAAAGGAGAACTCAAGACATTGAGTGATATTAAAAGATATTTTATAGTAATAACGAGGCCACTTCATCATAAAGAGGTAACTATAATGAGTCTTTATGAACTGGGTACATTTCATTCAAGTAGAGAAAACATAATTTATTGAAAAATACGTGAAGAAGAGATGGGCAAAAATATAAAAGCTGAGCCAGGCATGATGGTGCACGCCTGTCATGCCAGCAGGAGAAACACTGCAGGTTTGAGGCCAGCCTGGGCTACACAGTTCAAGGCCTGGCTGCACA